TGTACAATAGTAGGATTTACCTGTGGGGAGGGGGCCCTGTGGGGAGTAGGTTCACAGGGGGATGGGGTCAGGGAGAGGGAGGGCAGAGTATGGTGAACAGAGGAGGGTGTGTGTGCGGGCCCAAGTTGGATGAGTGTGTGCCAGAGGAGTGGGAGTCAATGGAGGGAGGGCAGGCAGGGGAGAGAACGAGGTAGGCAGCGGAGAGGGAGCATTGCCTGCAGGGCCCATGCTGAGAGCAGCAGACCATGGAAGGTGTAAACTGTGGGTCAACATGACAGATTGAGGCTTTGCACCTGCCTTTCAGGACAGATTATAAAGTATTTAGATGGATAGAGAGGGGTTGCAGGGTTGTGAATGTCAGCCATGGGAGGCAAGATACATCTATCCTGACCCTCTCCCCGGGCCAGCTCTTTACCCCAGAGGGGAACAAAGAGACTGACTGGCCTGGAAGTTCATGAAAAGCCGCAGCCGGCTCCAGGAGGCTGGCGCATGTCTTTCATGCTTTCCCAGAGCCCAGCACAGGCTGAGCTCACGGCACTGACAGTCACCAAGATCATCATCACAGCCAGTGTGGACACTATGGAGCCTCTCTAACGAGCAGGCGCCATGCAAAGCCCTTGTTTATATTAAGTCTTTTAAGCTTCTCAACAATTCTACCAGGCAGGGAATATTAGTACCTGCATTTCACAGATGAGATAACAGAGGCTCAGGGAAGGTAACCCACAGGCATGCCACACAGCCATGGGGCCCACACAGCCATGGGGCCCACACAGCCATGGAGCCCACACAGCCACGGAGCCCACACAGCCATGGGGCCCACACAGCCATGGGGCCCACACAGCCATGGGGCCCACACAGCCACGGAGCCCACACAGCCATGGGGCCCACACAGCCACAGAGCCCACACAGCCATGGGGCCCACACAGCCACGGAGCCCACACAGCCATGGGGCCCACACAGCCACGGAGGAGCCCACACAGCCATGAAGCCCACACAGCCATGGGACCCACACAGCCACGGAGCCCACACAGCCATGGGGCCCACACAGCCATGGGGCCCACACAGCCACGGAGGAGCCCACACAGCCATGGAGCCCACACAGCCACGGAGGAGCCCACACAGCCATGGAGCCCACACAGCCATAGAGAGGCAGGGGCGGAATCCTCATTCAACAGACACCAGATTGTGGGGCTCAGCTTCTGCAGGGCCTGGGGCAGGGCACGTTCTGGGCGATGAGAGAGAGCTGACTGCCCATCTCCAAGCAGTGCTGAGGGACCAGGGATCTGGGTTCTTCCCTCCCTGTTTGAGCTGAATGCATGACCTTGGCTGACCAGCCCAGCTTTCTTTCAGAGTCCTCAGGAGGCCGCAGCACTGGGAAATCCAGGGATCCTAGTTGCCCTCCTTCCTGCTCATTTCCAAGGCTGTGCCAGGACCAGAGAGCCCTATACTCTCAGCTGGATTGTCCCTTCTGTCCCATCCCTCATGCGGCCGGTGACTTGCCCAACTCCATTCTCACGAGGTCCCGGTGGTCTCCCCCCTCTCTCCTCCCCTCCCTTTCATTTAGCCTTTCTTCTTTCTTCCTATTTTGCAAGATCATCTCAGTGCCCTCAGACCCTTGGCATTCATTCTCACCTTCTCCTCCTGAGAGGGGCGATAGAAGAGGCCACCTCAGAGATTGTCCCGAGGCCGGAGGACACAGGCCTGCCTTCCACCCACCCACCCCCCCGAAGCTCCTGTGCCTCATCGCCGCGTCTTTCCCCAGCCTGCGCAGCTCGGCGTTCGCATTTATCCCGCTGGCTTATTGGCATTTTAAAAAGCCTTTTCTAATTGGCATCTGGTCCCAGTGAGATTCCACTTCCATTATATGAAAAAGACCCTCTCACCAATTCCCTTTCTTTCCTTCTTTTTCAAATATAGCAGCAGGTGTCTGTTGAATGAGGATTTTTTCCCCCCAAAAATGAGTTTGCACTCCCTTATCACAATCTGTATTAG